ATTTTAATCTTTTTACTTAGAAAATTTTTATTCAACAATTTTTATTGAGCTTGAGGCCGTTTTTAATGTTGAATATAATTTGTATAAGGCCATAAAATAACAGAAATAGAAAATTTTTAGGGATGCAGTTTTATAGCCATTAAAATTTACTAAAATTTAATGGGCTATAAAACTGCACACCTAAAATTTTTCTAAAAATTCTAAATTAAAAGTTTAAAACTATTGGGTGGATTGTTAAAGTTTGTTGAATTTTTGTACTACGTTGAAATGTGAATTTATGTGGTGCGGGTTATGTAATGTGCTGGGCTTCTATAAAAAATAAATATAATAAACATTAAACAAACAAAATAAAAATAGCCCAAGCTGGTCAAAATGTCACTTAACTTAATTAGCTGACCACAACAGTATGTAGGTATGTATAGGTACATATATGTAGTTGCTTGGGCATACTCTCCACAGGGTTCACGGACTATTATTAAGAAAATTATTTTATTTACAAGCTCATGAATGATTTGGCAAAAAAAAACCTAATAAAAATATCGAAGTAGAAACACATGTACATACATACATATGCACATACATACCTACTATTTATGTACACTTATACCTAAAATCTTAGAGAAACTCATGCGCATAAAATAGTTCTACATAAATATTTACTTACAGACTATTTCTATTTCTAACATGTATAAAGCAAAATTTTTATAGCGCTGACGATATGCGGTATGTTGTAGTACACAACGTACACACATATTCACATGTGCATACATACAATGGTTGGTATGTAGTAAGTACCCAGTACGGAAAGAAACTAGTTAAAATATTGATGTTCAACCAGTTTTTTACCCACCACAACTGTTGACTTTAACATGGCGATGTCCTAGGAAGCAGTCAATTATCCGGCTCTGCATTTGATTTTAACTACTTTAAAATGCATTTGGCTTAAATCACTTCAAAGTCAGTATGTTTCTTTTGCAGATGTCTTTTCAACCAATTTAAAATAACTTAGGCCCTTATTATGAGCTGCATTCGATTTTCGATCTTCGCTGGCTATCGAAGAACGAAGATCGAAAGTGAAATTCGTATTATGAGCTATGCAAGGTTGTCGAAATTTTCGTTGAGTATCGAATTTTCTGTCGAACAGAATTTTGCTTTCGATGGTGTAGCGAAGTGTTAGAAAATTGTGAAAAATGTATGATTTTGTATATGTTTTCTTACATTTTGGCGGCTAGACATTAATTTTAAACAATTTTTATTAATTTCATGCAGTTCTAACATCTTGAATACTAAACACAAGCTCGAAAGGCTGGTTTTACTTGTGAAAGAAAATCCCAATACTCTGTTGGCACGATCTCTGAGAACAAAATCGTAGCGCTGTTGATAGTTTTAAAATATTTTAAATAGATTTGGCTCACAAACGCCTCTTTAGATGGTCGGAACTTTTTAATGAATCTGTAGACAAATTTCTTAAATATATTTTATATCAAAATATATTCGAAAGACTAATAAACTTAAACTCTCTTAAACATTTGCTACTCCTGGCCAGTTTACTAAGCTCTCATCCTCTGACGAATCGTTGAACCAGAACTCGTTGTACTCATTTTACCACGTTTTTATAAACTTGCTTTCTTTTTTACTTCATTTTAATTAGAACAAATTTACATAAATATGTATAAGCACACTATTTAGTTTGCTCGATTTGTAAACAAAGCTTCTCAGCGGTGAAAAATATACTATTGTGAACAACCTAAACGAGCGAAATTCACAATAGCGCTATTCTTCATCGAATGAGTGCCATAATACCAAATGAAAATTCGTTCGCTCAGCACTTTCGACCACAGTCGAAAATCGAATGCAACTCATAATAGGGCCTTTAATATTAATTGGTGAAATAGGGTATTGCCCAAAGTTAGATGATTTTTCAACAAATATTGAATTATGTTTTTGCAAAAGTATTAAAAGTGTATTTTATCGCAAGAAGGTTGCTAGGTGATTATACATCAATTTAAAGCTAGTTACTACATAAGCAGAAATAATGGCCCCTATTATGAGTTGCATTCGATTTTCGACTGTGGTCGAAAGTGCTGAGCGAACGAATTTTCATTTGGTATTATGGCGCTCATTCGATGAAGAATAGCGCTATTGTGAATTTCGCTCGTTTAGGTTGTTCACAATAGTATATTTTTCACCGCTGAGAAGCTTTGTTTACAAATCGAGCAAACTAAATAGTGTGCTTATACATATTTATGTAAATTTGTTCTAATTAAAATGAAGTAAAAAAGAAAGCAAGTTTATAAAAACGTGGTAAAATGAGTACAACGAGTTCTGGTTCAACGATTCGTCGGAGGATGAGAGCTAAGTAAACTGGCCAGGAGTAGCAAATGTTTAAGAGAGTTTAAGTTTATTAGTCTTTCGAATATATTTTGATATAAAATATATTTAAGAAATTTGTCTACAGATTCATTAAAAAGTTCCGACCATCTAAAGAAGCGTTTGTGAGCCAAATCTATTTAAAATATTTTAAAACTATCAACAGCGCTACGATTTTGTTCTCAGAGATCGCGCCAACGGAGTATTGGGATTTTCTTTCACAAGTAAAACCAGCCTTTCGAGCTTGTGTTTAGTATTCACGATGTTAGAACTGCATGAAATTAATAAAAATTGTTTAAAATTAGTGTCTAGCCGCCAAAATGTAAGAAAACATATACAAAATCATACATTTTTAACAATTTTCTAACACTTCGCTACACCATCGAAAGTAAAATTCTGTTCGACAGAAAATTCGATACTCAACGAAAATTTCGACACGCTTGCATAGCTCATAATACGAATTTCACTTTCGATCTTCGATCTTCGATAGCCAGCGAAGATCGAAAATCGAATGCAGCTCATAATAAGGGCCAATTACTTTTTCTGAGGTAGTTGGTTGAGCTATGCCGTACTGGGTAGGTTCTCATAAGCTAGATAACGTACGCGTTGGGCTTTCGCAGGGGTTTCAACAGAGCGCTACACACACCCTTTTAACTGAATTTAACTAAATTAAGGGCGGTATTATCACTTGCGAAGCGAATGAATTTGGCGAAGCGAACGGTTTGGCGAAGCGAATGGATTGGCAGACGCAACTTAAATATGCATTGAGAGTGTTCTTTTTTAACAGCTTTTGGAAGTTCTTTGCATCGCGAAAACTTTGAATGCCTTCCCTGCCCTTAAATTCGCTCCGCCAAACCGTTCGCTTCGCCAAAATCATTCGCTTCGCAAGTGATAATACCACCCTAAGTGTAGGATAATGGTTTTCCTACATACATACATACATACAGTAATGTGAAAATTAATAGGCACACAACATTTTGACCAGTTTTGGCTATTTTTCCATTGTTTTTTTTAATGTTTTTACTATATTTTTAAATATAGCTCATTGTCTAACAAAAACCACATAAGTTCAAATTTCAAACTTTTTAGAAAAATTAGAAAATTTAACAAAATTTTTATTAATATTTTCTAAGTATGCGCCCATTAAATTCTAGCTTAAGAAAGTACAAGTTTCAAGTAGCTAAAAATTCGCATTGAGTTTTGATAATTTTTTCGCGGATAGTGTCATTATGATTCAAAATTCATACAAAATTTTTTCAATTTGACTTTATAGGATGATTCTTCTGAGAGCAATGTCAAATTCAATCACACTTTGTTGAATACATTTTGCTTGTACTTAAACCTTCTATAACCAAATAATAAACAGTAAACAGCCGCCAGTAAGCCGAAACTGGTCAAAATGTCGTATCCCTATTAATTTTCACATGACTGTATGTATGTACGTACCCCTATGTATATGTGCATACATATACATAACATATCTGTGCGTTTATGTTTATTAGTTATTTGTGATTTATTCTTTAAAATTGCGCATCTGGAATATTGAAAATTTAACGAGTTTTGACCGATTTGTTTTCATTTTTTGCCTCGACGCTAAATACTAACTGCTAACTACCCACTAGTGTGTAACAAAATTAGAATTTCGGTCATAAAAAATTAACGCCCGTCAGCCAGTGGGGCTGAAAGCGCTTTGCAAACCTGTTTGCGGCCATAAAAAATTAGCTTTATACTGTTTCTTAACATTGTTTTTAATGGAAACCTAAAAAACCGGAGTGTTTTTTCTTTTCTCAATTTTGTTATGTCGCTAAATTTGGTGGAATCGTTTGATTGCTTGATCGCTTGGTTGAATGGCAGTTCAATAAGCTTAGTGCGAATGCCTTCACCGCCGATGATGCGCTGAATAACAATTCCAAAATACGATATTTTATTATAAATGTGTTACTAATTCATCCTATGTATGTATGTATGTATGTAGGATTAGTCCAGTAAGTAAATTCGACAACGAAAAACGAATTGTTATGTAGCGTACTCATCTTGCAAATGTAAATAGTGAGCATGGACAAGCAAATATACAAGTCGGCTATTGTTTTCTACACTTCATAATGTACAATTACCAATTTATTTGCTTGTTTTCTTTTTTTTTTAGTTGCTTTGTTTGGTTTGCTTCTTGGCTTGTATGCCTTCATGTTTTCGGTTATTTTTGATTTGCCTTATTTCTTCTGTATAAATGTAAATATGTAGCATTTGAACGATAAGCTGCACTGTTTAGTAGATAGTTAAGTATATTTGCAATAATAAAGTAAATACATACAGACAGACATTTACACACAGATATCACTTATACGCCATACTCGCTCACTGATAAGACAAAACGCCAATCAAACAACCAAATATATGTACCTTTATGCATGTAATATGTATGTACCTAAATACAACTAGAATTCGATCGTTCGAACCTACCCGAAGTAATTTTATACTATTTGCATATATGTATGTATACAGGTACCTACAACCTTAAACCCAGCCTTTGCACTGTCCGCGTCCCTAATTTGTCTAATTAGCCATTACATCGCTGATATGGCTTGTGTGATTGCTCAGCTTACTATATGCACGCTTAGAATTAAACTTACCTCGTCTTTCATATAGCCCGCTACTAATCCTATACGTTGATCACTGTCTACAATGCGCCCATCGATTAAATGCCTCGTTTTATATTCCAATACGCCAGTGTCGTTTGACAGGCAATGTATTATCTTTGGTGATCGTATGATTCGTGCCATCGCTACAAGCACCACATCGTTGCCACTGATGCCGTGCATCGCTGCCTGTTGTATGACGTCGTGCTGCATCATATGCAGACCGGCGATGTCTCCATTGTTGCGCGTCCGCCGTATTAACTTCGATACAATAGGGAATGTGCCGGCGGAGCAGGAGTAGTCGCTCCGTCGAAAGCAACCGTCAAATTTCACTAACTCGTACTTGCGAGTCGCCTCTGACCGCGTACCCGCGCGCGCTAATCGTATTGCGAAAGTACGTCGATCGTTACGCAAGCGTCGATCAATGTCGCCCAAGTAGGCATCTGTGTGTTGCTGCGGGCTGTTGCTACGACAATGGGACTGCTCAGACGCCTGTTGTTGGTGATAGTCCTCCGCTGAGCATTCAGTTTCTAAAACTTCGTCTGCCTGATTGCCTGTTGGTGGCGGGTGATGTAGTTGATATTCATTACTGCTGCGGAATAACGCTTCCATATCACGTGGTATTAGCTGCTGTAACAGCCGCTCATGATCGTCTGGATGTGTAATGCTCAGTATGTTCTGTCCGTAGAGATCGGATTGACAATGGCCGAGTAGTTGCTCCACGCTTGTGGATATGACAACGATTTGGCCATGACAGGTTAATGTTATAAAAAAACTGTCAAGCAAGTGCGTGAGCGCATCTGTGAAATGTGGTTCATCGATGAGCGCTGGTACGTGGCCACCATTTTGCCTCCTCGGCGCCGACTTGCCAAATACATATTGGAGCCGTAAACCGTGCGTGGCGCGACGCAAAACACCGGTCTTGTCTAGCCGTCGAGTGGCATCCGCAACGTGCGGCACCATGGAGGCCAGCTCCTGTATACTTGCATTCAATTTGTCTCTGCGATGCTTCTCTGCTAAATTGCGAGCCTCCCGGCTGCTGGGGGTATTGCCACTCGCCCCACCATCCGAAACGATTTCCGCCTCTGCTGATGCCATATTTGTGGGCATGCTAGACATAGCCTTTATTCACCTGTTAATTACTTAATTTATTCTTTATGCGTTTTGTTTTCCTGTTTTTTAGTTATGGCTGCTGGAAGTCACACGCCATTCCTTCGCACTTTGTCTTACTCTGTTCTAAGCAATGTTCGTCGTCTTTTTTCTCAAGGTCTCACTTCTATGGCTCTGGCCCCACCGTCTTTCCGCAGAGCCCACTATACAATCTTTTTCGTTGTTTTCTTCTTAGCTTTTCTTTTTTTTCTACTTGGTTGCGTGTCGTTCTCACTTTTTCTACGTACTTCTCGCCAGCATGTTAATCAGTCACTACTATTAACTACTCAACTATTATTAGCCACACACAGAATCTTGATAATAGTTTTCACTGATTTTGTCACAAATTTGAGCCACTTTTCGCTTTTGCACTTCCACTTTTATCAATCACCCGAAATGGAAATTTTTTTGTTTTGTTATGCCTTCTTCTTGTTATAACAAAGTTGCGGTTGCAGTAGAAATGCAAATATCGGCATACTAGCCAAATGTAGGGAGACCCACATTAAAAATATAATGGTGGACATGTTTTGATGAAGAATTTAATAGCAAATTAAAACCATTCCTTATAACAAAGATAGAGAGTAGGTAATCAGTAAAAAATCGGTAAAAAGAAATAGTTAAAACAATCGTATTTCACCGTAGTTTTGGGTGCAGTTCAATAATTATAATAATTTGCAATCACCCTGTTTTGTTGATGTTACGTTTTCTGCTATTAGTTTGTATCAGCAACTTTATTACGATTTCCAAAATTGCAACTTTCTTCGAAAGTGCAATGAGCAAAAAAATTTGTGGAAAATGATTCATTTTAGCAGTAAAAACTGAGTTTTGACAGCTAAAATAGCTTAGCGCAATGTCGCGACCATCGCTCACATCTGCCGAGCCCAGTTCGCCCGTGCAAAAAGTATGGAAGCCAGAATGTAAGCAATTAAATTACTAGTCCCTGACCACATCTAATACTCTTCTTTGTTAGTGTATAAAATACAATTAGAAGCGCCTACGCCCAAACCCTTCCGCCGTACTCGTCCTTTGCCTTCGAATAATATCAACAATGAACCGCATTGTTATGGCACAGAATATTATGGTGTAATGGGCCATCTTGACGCAGAGCAGCTCTTGTCCAATAAGCCAGATGGCACATATCTACTGCGTCGAAGTCCAAATGCTGTAAACTATTTCACGTTGAGTGTGCGTTTCAATAATCGCACCAAGCATTTCAAGATTTACTACACGCGTGGTAAAGGTCATTATCTACAAGAGCAGTCCAAGCACTACGATACAATTCATGACCTGGTAGCCGATGGATTAGTCAATTTCTATATGCAATTACATGCTGCACCGATTATACTCCAAATCAATCAGCAGACCCGCCATTGTTATCAGCAGAGCCCCTATATGACGCTTAACCGGCGCAAGTTGAGAGCGCTTTCGCATGAGCTGGGCAAATCAATTGTCGCTGCGAAAGTTAATAGTGAAGCAGAACAGAATGCAAACTCTGAGATCAACGGCATCACGACGAGTAAAGCTCCAACGCAGAACAATGAAATATCTACAACAACAAAAGATTCAAATGACACAGCCGACACCATACTGCCGCTCGTTTATGAGAAGGCGCACACTTTCAAGGTGCACAATTTCAAAGGACTTAATTGGTGCGAGTTTTGCGCGAACTTCCTGTGGGGTTTCACCGCACAGGGCATGAAATGTGAGGCATGTGGGTTTATGGCACATTTCAAGTGCGCAGAGCTGGTGCCGTCTAAATGTGTGCCAGATATGAAGCGTATACGCGGCGTATTTGGCACCGATTTGACGACAGTGGTGCAGCTATACCAAAGCAGTATACCATTTGTGGTGCGGCGGTGTGTGGAAGAGGTCGAGGCGCGTGGCATGCTGCAGGAAGGTATTTATCGTGTCTCCGGATTTGCCGATGAAATAGATGCACTCAAGTTGGCTTTAGATCGCGATGGTGAGAAAACTGATATGTCGGAGGCGGCCTATGGCAATGTGAATGTAATAGCAGGCACGTTGAAGCTCTATTTACGCCTGCTGCCCGTGCCGCTTATCACATTCCAAGCGTATCCGAGCTTTATGCAAGCAGCAAGTAAGTAACTACTTAAAACACTATAAAGGACTAGTTTTATAAATATATATATATATATATATATATATATATCTATTTTAGGGAGCCCGAACACTGTCGAGCAGATAAGAAATATGAATGAAGCGGCCAAGCGCTTGCCGCCAGCTCATTATAGTTGCCTGAAATTCACGGCAGAGCATTTAAAGAGGTAGCGTGGGGTTATAGTTTGTAAAACATAAATTTATTTACACTCCTTTTTTATTGCAGAGTTGCTTCTCATTACGCGGCCAACAAAATGAATGAACACAACTTGGCCACGGTATTTGCGCCCACATTAATTGCTACTCCACAGCATATGACAAATTTAACGGAAGAGATTTTCATGCTATCTACGCTAATTGCAAACTGTGCAGATATTTTCATTTAGTCACCGAGTTCTATACACAGAAAAACCTTTGTAGGTCTAATATTAAGGGGAGGCGAATTGAGGGAAAGTGCAACCAGTGGCTCAAAGCAGGCAAAAGCTCAGATTTTAGACAAAAATTAGAAATTGAAATATTTCCTCTGATAATTTACTAATTCGTTTTAAGCAGCAGACACGAGTGTATGCCGTAAACACGAATTTATGATGAGAAATTAAGAAATTAGTTGTCGAATATTTAAAACAAATTTTACACATTCTAAAATTTCATACAACTTTTTTTTTATCTAAAACCAAAGTATTTTTTACGTAGTAATAATAAAAAACCAACTTATGATATGCATTTACAAACAAATGATGCCTTGTAATTAAAAATGGCAATTGTGCTAATCGTTTTGAATATTAAAAAACTATACGGTTCATTTGCACTTGATGGAATATTTTCGCATAAGACATTGGTATTCTCAGAAGCTTTTTACTAAAAATTTATGGTACATCGAGTATATCAAAAGAGTGCAGAAAAGTATGTAGAACATAGCTTAAACATTAAAGGCAGATAATACTCAGCAGTGAGCAATCGTTCATGGGCGGGGTTGACAAACAAAATAATATATGCATACATACATACATATTTACAAAAAATATGGTGTAGTATTTTGTTGTGGTATAACGCGCTCTGTTTCTGGCACTGCATTGAAAATACTAGTTGTTCGATCTTTGGCGGTTTTGAAATTCAAAATAGCAGCCACATTGCCGCAACGATAGCAATAATTTGGCGCCGACCACACCGTCACAAGCTTACTGTCGAACATATATTTAATACCCTCGTTGACGAGCTGATGCGCACGACAAATCAACTCCAAATTGTTGATATTCATAAAGTCTTTGGTAACCAGCTGACCAAAAAGCCAGCCTGCGCCGCGCGGACTCTGGCCCCTAAAATAAATGTGGATTTAACTTTCTCAGGTACCAGCTTGATATAATAGCTGTGCAGCTACTGCTCACCATAGATCCATATCCTCTGGATCCGACCAAACCAAATCACAGAAGGCGCCTTTGTAAGGAATCTCACCATTGCGATCTATTGTGCGTATCTGATCGAGTGTAATAATTTCCGGACTGAGACCACCATGTACACAAAGCACTTCCTCATCGATAATCTGAAATAGAGATGCATGAATTTGAATGTGTTAACTAGTTTAAATACAACAATTAAGTTACCGCAGCAATTGTCAGCAAATCAAATACTTTACAGCAGTACTTCCATGCATTAGCGTTTCCATACTTGGTGAAACACTCATCAAAAAACCCATATACTTTGGTAATTTGTCGGGACTCGTGATTACCACGCAATAGCGTTATGCGGTCAGGATAACGCGCCTGCATTATGTTAAAACAAAAAAGAGAAAATTTAATGGGCTGACTAGCAAAGACCCGTCATAGAGAGCTCACCTTCAGCGTCATTAGACGTGTCAGTGTTTCGAGACTGTAGTAGCCACGGTCGACAAAATCGCCCATGAAGATGTAGTTGGTATCAGGTATTTGACCACCTGTACGAAAGAGTTCTTCCAGATCGTAGAACTGCCCATGTATGTCACCACATACTGTGACAGGCGTGCTAACAGGCTGTATATTGGACTCCTCGAGCAAAATCTCACATACGATATCACAGAGTTTCTTTAAGTCATTCTCTGGCAAGTATTTACACTCCTTTACAGTTTCTATCCACTTGTCGAGATCTGACATTGTAACAACGTATTTTTATTGGTTAAGTGTGTGTCTATTTTGTTGAAAATTCGGCAAAAAACCACTTATTTTCACAAATTATGGGCGATTTTCCGCTGTTACAGTGTAAAATGTTGTTCTTGCTGGGTGGCGCAGTTGACAATCGGAAATGTCAATGCGTTGCAGTTGAGTGTGCTGCTTTTTGAGCGGAATACAATTCACAATAGTGTGGTGTATTAAGTGTGAAACTTTGTTGAGTTTGGTGAATTTAATTTTTTTTTTAGAGAAAACAAACGAATAAATCACGACTTTACTTTGATTTAGGAAGCGCTAGTTAGGGCGAATACATATAAGGTGATAGCGGGAGTACAAAAACAAAAATTTACATGTATTTTGTTTTTGCTTTTGCGATGTGAGTTGTCCAAATCTGTAAGTGTGCACCGCTTTGGATAAATTCGCTTCGGCGCTAGTGTTGTAACACCATCGGCTCCGTATTTTTTTTATTAAAATTAAGTGAAGCAAAATAAAAGAAGACAGATTATGTAAAATCAATTTAACTTAATTCATCCCCGATCTAAAATTGTAAGTATTATGTGTACATACCACATATGTATCTAGAAATACATTGTGGGTGTTCACACTTGAATGATTATCTGGTTATGTGGTTATTTTTTTATTCAGCTTACAGCAATAATATACCCTACAGAATACTAATTTTTAACCGGATACGTGTGAACACTTACATGTATTTCTAGCAAATAAAAATAACAAAACATGGAACATAACCCCGAAAAGTAAAATCGATGTTTGCTCATACATATGTTATGACCAGGCCTGGACCACGCCGACCGCGCAGTACCCTCGGAGTAACGTCATGTGTTCGTATACACGCAGTTGAAGTTAAAAATTAAGCGAAAATTAATAACTTATTCACAATGAATCGGTTAAAATTCAATACGCTAAATTACACTTAACTTTCCTTCGTGTATACGAACACGCGACACTACCCCGAGGCTACAGCGCAGTCGGCGTCGCCTAGGCCCGTTTATGACATTTAAAAACAGGCTATTTATAACTGATAAGAAATTCTAATAATTAAAGGAATTTTACAAAAATTACCAAAATATAATGGACCACTGCGCCAGCGAAAGTGAGACATAAAAGTGTGGTGAATTTCGACCAACCAGTCAATTTAAAAATAACTATCTAAAGAAGTCCAGTAAAAATGGTTATAGTTCGTTTGTAAGGTTATGCCAGGTTGCGCAAAAACACACATGCAAATTTATATATGATATATCTACATAAGCACTTTCCTTACCATACAATTGTACCGATCTTATCATACATATGTATGTATGTACTACTATGTATAATCATTGTTATTTATGTTTGGTTTAGCTTACTGATGATTATGACTTGCAAGAATTAAAAACAAAAATTTTGAAAAACAAACGTACACATGTGCATACATACAAACGCATGCACTTACTACATACATTTGTACCTATCATCAGTGATAAGCACCAAAAATCAAAAAAAAATCTTAACGTTTCGAGTATTGCAGAAGCGATACCTTGAGCAGAGGAGGACTGAATGAAGACAATTGTTACACATACATATGTACAGATGTAGTTATGTATATACATATGTGCTTAATATAACATAATATATACATGCATATATTTGTATTGTATGTACAAAAATTCGACATGCACTTGTGCTGACATATGTATGTATGTATGAGATGGGCGCTGGATATCGGGACCCGCGGTACCCACGGTATTGATTTCAAGTTGGCCGGAATGGGCGGTATCGGGAAGGTCTGTAGAAATTGTGCGGGCGGGACGGGATCAAAATCCGTTCCAGACACTCTCGATAGAACCGCAACCTCCGCAAATTCAGAAAATCTTCCTTAAGAACGATATGTGCAATATGCACTTTTTCATGTTTTATTGAGACGAAAACGTACAGCAAAGCAAAACAAAATAATCAGAAGATGCCTGAACTTTCATTATTTTTCTTTTTTAAATTTTTTACTTAATTTGTAATACATGTGAATTTTTCGTAGTGATAAAGATAAATTTCGGGACCCACGGGACCCGCAGTACAATGCTGAAAAACGTCGGGATGAGTGGGTTCAGGACTTAAATATTGAATTTCGAGATGGGCGGGATGGTATTAAATATTTAGTCACGTGCCCATCTCTAGTATGTATGTATGTATGTACATATGTATTCATGCATTTATAAATACCAATCTCTATACCTATAGTGAATGGCATAATGATAAGGTCACCACATATTGATAAGTTTTGACTTAGTTTTACTTTTAATTATTGTTAATTAATTTTTATAAAAATATAGTTAATTCTATAACAAAAACCATATACCTATGCGTATAAACCCAAGTTTCAATCTTTTTGCAATTTTTTTAAAAATTCATCCTATTTCCACCAAATTTTCACACTCTATTCAGAACTTTTAGAAAACTTTAGTATGCGGTTGTATAGCACATACAATTCTAGTAAATAAAGTGCAAGCAGGAAGTGACTGCACGCTACCGTTGATTTTCGGCACGGGCTAAGGTCTCTTATTTGACCTTTAATTTTTGAAATTCCTTTTCAAAAGTATTCTCAAACTAAAATCTTCTTAAATCTTAAACTGATGAACTAGTTCGAATTTGATTGTTCGAACAAATGGCAACCCCCTAAATAGAGGTCAGGAATAAATCCCTTTCAAACTCATTTCGATTTATACCCACCTTTTAATAATTCATCCAATTTGCGTGGTGGCAACCCTCCTATAGTTCAGCTAAGAAACAAAGCTTTTCAAAGTCATTTCAATTGATACTCAGTTTGTAATAATTGATTTATTTTTGTAAATAATTTGAATCTAATTTTTTAAAAGCTGGCAGCTCTTTTCTAAAAAGTAAAACCTTATTGCACATCTGGCACATCCACAGTCCAAGTAGTTTGACGCCTCATTTTTTGAAAATCGGAACGAACGGTGCGGATTTGATGGCAATTTAATTTTTCAACAGGTGGCAACTCTTTTCGAAAAACTAAAACCAGTTTGCACATCTACAGACCAAGCGCTTCAATTTGACATCTCATTTTTGAAAATCGGGCAAACGGTACAGATCTTTTATTCTGGACGAAAAATCCCTTCGCGTATATAGATTTCCAAAATAAATCAAATTTGGAAAAATTGTGAAGTTTGTATTTTTTTATCGTTGTAAACCATAAACAATTTATTCCGCAAACAACACTCGACCGTCGAAACAATGGTGGTCCACTTCACAAATTTTTACTCAGCTTCTACTGTTATTATTTGTGGAAAATTACGCAACTCAGAAGCAGTTACAAGGACGCATTTTAAAATCTATTAAGGCGATCTCAAATGTTCGAAATTAATCACAAAGTTCCTTGAGAAAGGTTTTGCTACACGTCCACGGCGTATGAGCAACATTCTGTTAAGCATTGCGTATTCATTGTTCCATCTCTTGCTACTTATGTACATATGTACAGTGCCGGCCACTTGAATAGCGCCGTCTTAAAAAAAAAATTACAATTCAATACTAGTGAACCGGCATGGTGTTAAAAGGCCAAAATTTAACTTAACTTTCTAAAAAGGTGACAACCCTATTAAAAAACCAAAGTAAATATTCGAAATGTTTCATCCAAATCCGTCCAGCAGTTTCTGAGTGAAGAGAGTTATTATTAGAGCG